AGGATATCCAATTATTCCAGAATTATTTGTTTGAAATATTATTCTAGGGTTGGCCAGTTAGCTCACTTGGGAGAGTGCAGTGCTGATAACACAAAGGTTGAGCATTCAGATCCCAGTACTGGCCAGCTACCAAAAAAAAAAAAGATTATTCTTTTTCCATTGAGTCATCTTTGTACCTTTTTCAAAACTTCATTGGCCATATCTGTGTGGGTTTCTTTCTGTATTCTCTTTTTATATATTTATATTGGCGGGTACAATTTGCTAATATTTTGTGGAGAGTTTTTGTATCTGCTCATGATGGTTATGGGTCTGTAGTTTTCTTGTACTGTCTTTATCTGGTGTTGATATCAGGGTGGTACTGGCCTCATGGGATGAGTTGGGGTGCTCTCCCTCTTAGGTTTTCTTCCTTAAATATTTGGTAGATTCACCAGTGAGGCCTCTGCACTCTAACAGAGAACTGTTGGTGTAGAGAAGGCAGCTCTCTCCTCTGATGTGTCTAAAGGGGTGACGGAGGAAGGGAGGAGACAACACTGAGAAACCATAGCTTGAAAGAATCAGCTTAGAGGTTTCCAGTCCAGACAGCAGCAGGGAGGCCCTGTGAGCTGCTTCCTGACAGGGGCTGTGGTCTCTGCAGGTGCTGTCCCTGGACACAAACATCACAAACCAGGTGAATAAGCTGAACCGAGACCTGCTTCGCCTGGTGGGCGTGGGTGAGTTCTCTGAGGAAGCCCAGTTCAGAGACCCCTGCCGCTCCTACGTGCTCCCTGAGGTCATCTGCCACAGTTGTAATTTCTGCCAAGACCTGGACCTCTGCAAAGACTCCTCCTTTTCCCAGGTGGGACTCAGCTGCAAAAACCCTTTGCTGGTGGAGCCAGAACATGCAGACATCCCAGACCATCAGAGGGTCCTGCAGCTTTGTGGGTCACACTGCTTCCCCCTGCTGGTTCTTATTGGGTTAGAAACAGGTGCCCCTCTTAAGCCACTGTACTACCACCTGCCTGAAAGTTGTCCCAGTAAAGGCACAGTGCAGGTTGCATGAAGTAATTTGAGCCCTGCAGCCTGGAGTGCAACTCTCTCCAGCCCCTTCCTCTCCTACACGGGGTCCTTCTTGTGGAGACGCTGCCAACGGCACGATTGCCTGGGTGGGCTGTGGCTGAGGGGCCATGGCCGGGGTGACCTTTCACTCCTCTCTTTGCTCTGCCTAGGATGGGGCTGTCCTACCACAATGGCTCTGCTCCAACTGTCAGGTTGCCTACGACTTGTCTGCCATTGAGATGGCCCTGGTGGAAGCCCTGCAGAAGAAGCTGATGGCCTTTACCCTGCAGGACCTGGTGAGCAGCAGGCCCCACCCCATGCGGCCTACACTCCCGGGAAGCCAGGGGCATGAAGGTCCTGAGTATCCTCTAAGGTGACCGCCTCAGCTGGTCAGTCCAGGCCCATGGGCCGTTGACTCATTCTGTCAACATCTGTTGGGCACCTACCCTGGGCCCAGAGCTGGATTCCTAGAGTTTCACTGTAGTGGAGAGAAATAGAACGAGTCCTGCAGTGTGACAGTGGTGGCGAGCATGAGGAGAACAGGATAGAGAGGGTTTGCTGCCATGCCCAGCAAGGCACAGGAAGGACTTGCCAAAAGGGTATCTGTTCAGAGATCTGAGGAGTGTGCCCATGCGGCCTTTGAGGGGTGGTGTCCAGGCCTGGTGTGATGGACAGAGTGAGCACAGGGCGTGGAAGAAGCCCCTTGCAGTCTGGGGTTGGGATGCCCATAGCAAAGGAGGGGGTGTTGGGAAGGAGCTGGCAGGGTTAGGATAAAATCTTGAATTTTATTCACAACTGAGGCCTGACTGCAAACAGCAGGGAACCGAAGTTTGCTAGTGGTTCCATGATCAGTTCCTCCTCAGCAAGGCTGCAAGCAGGTGGTGGGCGAGGGTCCAGCAGGGATGGGTGGGCCGGTGCCTGACAGGCTGCTCCCTCATTTCAGGTCTGCCTCAAGTGTCGTGGTGTGAAGGAGACCAACATGCCTGTGTACTGCGGCTGCACAGGGGACTTCGCGCTCACCATCCACACACAGGTGGGTGGGCCCAGCCTCAGCTCTGCCTTGCCTCCTTTTCCTCCTCTCTGGGTGGGACTGGGGTCTCACTGTGGCTGTCTGTTCTTATAGGTCTTCATGGACCAGATTGGAATCTTCCGGAACATTGCCCAGCACTACGGCATGACGTACCTCATGGAGGCCCTGGAGTGGTTGCTGCAGAAGAATCCTCGGTGGGGCCGTTAGAAGCCCATGGATGGGCTCATGGGACACCAGGCATCCTCAGATCCAGAGAGGTCCACGTCCTCAGCTCCGAGTGACTGGGCCACTGACCACCTGACTTTCCAAACTTGTGACAACAGTCCAGGGAACAGGGCCAAGCCAAGGAAAACCATTTTCGGGGCACTCAAAAGTGGCATGAACTTGCAGGAGCAGGAGATGTCTCCATCTTCGCCAGAGCCGCCACCAAGGCAGATTGTGCTCTGAGAGGCGGCTGGAGGGTCCTGAGGGATCATTTCTTGCTGAATAAACACGTTTCTTGGCTCTGTTGCTTTCTGTGCCTGCTGGGAGCACTGGGAGAGTCCTCTCAGAGGCGCCTCGGGGGCTGTGACTCCCTGAGATTGGGCTGAGGTGGGACCTGGGGCCAAGTGGGCTCCTGCATGCTTCCCCACAGCCTCACGGGAGCAGGATATGGGCTGGTTTCCAGGGAATCCAGACCCTGAACCAATGGGGACCTGGACTTTGCTCCTCTCTGTCAGTGGAAATAGGGTCTGGAGGGGAGCGTCCATGACACTGAGGGTCTCAGCAGTGAAACCCCTGTGGAGTCTAGGCCGAGAAAGAGGGCCTCAGACCAGAGCTTGGCCCCGAGGCGGGCCTGCAGAACCCACCCTTTTCTGTTACGATCACAACAGGGATCTCTGGTCTTGAGGTGTTCTTTATCATGGGCTTCAACGTCACATGATAAGACCTGGATTTTAGGAAAATATTTCTTCACATGCAAGATTTTAGGTTCTTCAGCTCTGGGGATAGGGGCTGAGGTGGGGGAAGAGGAGGGAAAAGCAGTGGCAGTTGTGTCTTCAGAGGGATCAGCTCACTCCTAGGAGTCCTGACTTCCTGGTGGCCAGGGAAGGCCATGGCTACCTTGTGGTCAGCGCAGCAGGCAAGGCCTCCCAAGTTGGGGCCTGGCCGGCAGGTGGAACTCTACTGTCTTGGGTCTCGGGACAGCTTTGCCTAGCAACTCAGGACCCCTCATCAGTCTCAAGGAAACAAATGTGTCTTACTTTCTTGTGTATCCCTCAACCTCCACTTCCCACAGAGGACCAACCAGAAGCAGGAAGAATACTCCAAGTTAGCAAGGCAGCAAACAAGTATTAAGTGTGACTCACAAAGGCAGGTGGGGAGACCCATATGCCCTACAGGCTTGCAATCACTGTTGGCCCAGAAGCTGGCTTTAAATTCATCCTTGCTGTCTGTTATGTCTGAGTTACACAGTATTTATTTTTTACTTTTAATTTAAAGTTTCTTTCGATCATTGCTGTACATATCTGTGCATGATGGTGGGTCTCAAAGGCCAGATTCCAGTGGGCATGTGTGTGACCCCTGGAGGCCATTCAGGCCCTGGCCACCTGCTAGGGAAACCTGACTCCCTGTGTTCAGGCCTCCCAAGTGGAGATCTAATCAAATTAGGGCGGCTGGGGGAGGAGAGAACCAGCTAGCCAGGCTTCCAGGAAGGAAAGCTGAAGAGGGCCTGGGGGGTAAGGAGAGCAGCTATCCCCAGCCTAGCACCCACAGCAGGACCAAGGGCCACTTGGTGCAGCCATGGTGCCAGCCTGGCCTGGGTTCACTCTGAGGCCCACTGAGGGCTGGGGCATTTGGGGTGGGGAGGGATTGGAAGTTGGAAACCTGAGCCCCTGGCCCTGTTTCCTGAGCTGCCTGCCAAGGGGCCCAACTGGAAAAGCCAGTTTCTCCAAAACTAGAGCTGGATATCTTGCAGACCAAACCCTGGGGATGGCACAGGCATCCAGGTGAGACCCTGGAGGCTGATGACTGAGTGTGGAAGGGGCTTGGCATGTGTGGGCAGGGGGGAGGATTTTTCTCATTGCCTGTCTCACCCCAAGCTACCTGCAAACATGACGGTGCCAGGACCAGGAACTTGTGCCAAAGACAGCGCAGGTCTGAATCCTACCCCCTTGGTTTCCTTGTCTGTGAGATGGGATGTCATCTGCAGCTGTCACTGAGGTCCTGCGCAAGGCTCTTTGTGCAGCCTTGCTTGGACCAGCTCGCTCGCCATGGGGCCAAGCCCTGGTCTCCTCCAGCAGGGTCTGGCCTGGCAGGCGCCAGTCTGACTATAGAAGCATCTGGGGATACAGTAACCAGATTACTCGGTCCCTGATGCAGTTAGTGCTGGCTCCCTGGGATCCTCATCTGTCCTCCTTTGCCCCTCAGTCCCCGTGTTAAGCAGAGGTTTGGGGAGTGGACAGGCCCTTTGGTCTGAGCCAGTGGACTTGGCTTTCACTTTCCCATGCACAGCTCTCATGCCTTCCTCTGCTTCACTCCCCCTTCTCGGAATCATGCCATCCTTTCCCACATTTTGAGATGAGGCAGACACGGGTTTGAGACACAGGTCTGGGGTCAGGGGTGACCCTGCAGGATGCTGGCAAGTGCACTGATGAGGTGGACTGAGCAGCCAGCACTGGGATGAGCCCTGAGTCCTGTGCATTCAGCCTGTGTCCCCACTGCCCTGGTTCCTTAACGTGGCAGATGTGGCCGAGACCTGGCTGGATGTGGGAGCAGGCAGGCGTGTGTCCTGCACACTCTGCACCCAGGCTGGAGAGGGGAAATGACCCAGACTAAGGACACCATGCAGCCCACTGAGGCTAGAAGCGTCTGGGGAAGGGGACCAGCCATCTCATACTAATTTCATGGGTTCATGGTGCTTTTCCTGATGATTTTCCCCAGGAATGAGGCCAAAAGGTTCTGATCACAGGTTTATTGGACTCTGAGCATGTTGTGACTTCTTGAGGAAAGGTCCAGGCAGAGTTCAAGTGACAAAGCTTGTGCAGAAGGGGCGAAGAGCAGCTTCCCTGGGGCCCCAAGAGCAGGGGCAGAGTCCCTCAGCACTCAGGTAGCAGTGTGAGAGGGTGGTGGGTGGGCAGGAAAGGGCTGAGGAGCCTGTGGGGTGATCAGCTGGTGGGAGGGGGTGGCGGGAATGTGCCTCTCCCTACAGACTTTGGTGAGGCTGGGGGTAAGTGGAGGATGGGTCTCAGCAGCAGAAGCGTGGTCCCCTTATCCTCTTGCACGGGGGTCCTTGATTCCCAGTCTCATGGAAACACTTGGCTGTTGAGGTGGCTGGGCAGGGGCCCAGGTCCGCTGTGCCAGGTCCCCAGTGGGGCTGCCGGGGCAGTTGGGGACTCTGTCTCTGTGACCCTGCTGAGCCTAGGTCTGTAGTGCAGTGTGATGGGAAGGACAGGAAGCTCAAAGTTGGGCCAGACCTTTGGGGTCCGTGGGTGTGGAATCCTGCTGGGAAGACTTGGAGGTGGGAAACTTTTGTCCTACACTCTGATTGGGAGCGTCCACCATCCTCTCGGATGGGGCAGAGAGGGGACAAGGTCGTGGGGGCAGGACGGCTGGGCCTAGCTCTGCCCCTTGTCCCAAGGTCAGCTCTCCTGGACTGAGGGCTGATGGAGGGCTGGATGGCCGGTCCTCAGAGCAGTGACCCAGTGGGGGCGGGGCCTGGCCCAAAACAAGGGCAAGGGTCACAGGCCAGCTACCTGAGGGGTGCCTTGGTGTACACACCTTGTCAAATTTCTTATGGCTGTAGACCTTGTTTTTGTTCATGAACGTTAGCAAGATCCAGTCGCACAGGAAGGAGCCCTGGGGCCAGCAGAGACCAGAGCGTAAAGGCCTGGCAACCCCCCCAACACCCATCCAGACCCCCAAGTGGGTTCCTTACCACCCCGATGGAGGTCAGAGCTGTGGCCAGATTAATGACGGTGGGAATCAGGCTGAACTTCCCTGCCTGGGGAGAACAGGCTTGACTTTAGACAGTGGCTGCTGGGGTGAGGGTGCTCAAGGGAAAGGAGTGCATGAGGGAGATGAGCAGAGCCAGCCCAGCTCTACGTGGAGCCCCCAACTCCAGGCAGCACGACCCCAGTGGGCTGCGGTACCTGTCCGTGCACGATGACATCAATGCGGATCCCGTAGGCTTTGATGAGCGTGCGGGTCGTGGTGCCGTTTAAGTTGTAATACTTGGCAAACCTGGAACGGAATGACCCAGACACCTGTGTCCAGGCTGCCTGACTCCGTGGTGGCTGCGGCAGGTGCCCTCCGCCTTCCAGCTCCAGGGCTGCTCCTGGGGCAGCTCTTGCCTTGGGACCTGCCCTCTTGGCTCTGGAGAGCAGGAGCAGCCAGGGTGGGCATCCTAGGGAAGGCTACCTGAAGTTGTAGCCCGAGGAGGCGGGGACGTGCTTAGGGTCAAGCCTCCGGAAGGAATATTTGGGGTTGCACTCTGCTGCAGAGAGGTCCAGGTCACAGTCCCAGTTGATGATGACCCCAATGACGCCGCCCTGCCGAGAAGGGAGTCTAGGATGGGATGAGGAGTGCACAGGGGAGGGAACCCTGCTGGGACACACAGCCCCGTGGCTGTGCATAGATACACGTCACAGTTCCCACGGGGCAGTTTAGGGCCGACAGCAAGGGGGACCCGGGAATGTCCCACTTCTGAGGCATGAACAGGCTCTCGTGGCCCACCAGTGACCAGGTGTCAATAATTCGGCAGATGCCATGAACACACAGAGGAGTCGGGCAGGTCACTTTTCTTTCGTCTGCCTGAGGAGGGATTTCTTAGCTGTGACAGACCCTTCCCACGCAGCTGGAAGCCAGCACCCAGCCCGCTGCCCAGCCCACCCTCGCCCTCACCTTGTGCGCGAGCTCTGTGAAGTTCTCCCGAGCCTGCTCCACGATGAAGCCCAGCTTGAAGATGGGGCAGTAGAGGTCAGAGACCTCGTCGAACGTGCAGTGCTTCAGGTACTGGTCCTTGCGGTTTGCGATGTTGCCCCTGCAGAAGTGGCAGAAAGGAGACGCCGTGAGCCCACACAATACATTCCCAGTAGGCAGCCCTCCCACACCAGTCCCGTTGCCACGCCTGCGGCTCTTACTTGGAGAAGTGGAATTTGGGGTAGTGGATGCTGTTCTTGATGAGGATGGTGAAATTTGGGGCCATCTTACCCAGAAATTGGCTGAGGAGGCACAGACAGGGATTGCTAAGTCCCCCTCTGAAAGCCCCCCACCTAGTAGGGGCTCTGCCCTTTCCCGCGATGTCGCCCCCTTCCCCCGGCGATCTGGTCTAAGGAGCCGCGGAGTGGCAGGGCTGGGAGCCGAGGCCCGGAGGGTGGGGTCGCTGGCGCCACACCTGAGAGCGGCGCCGTCTTCCACCGGGCACCAGCCGGAGATCTCGCAGGTCTTGAAGGACCCGTGGTAATAGGGCACGCAGCGCCCAGTCCGCGGCCCTGCGGAAACAGGCCGCAAGGGGGCGGTGAGGGCACAGCTCTGTCCCCGCCCCGCCCCCCACCCGGCCACACTGACCGTTCCCCAGCATGTCCAGCTCCCCAGCCGCGCAGTCATCGTCCGAGTGGCAGGTGGCGTTGTGGACTCTCGCGCTCTAGGGTGGGGACGGCCTGGTCAGGGGTCGCCGCAGCCGATGCCAGGCGCCCCAGCCCCCCAGCTCCACCTTCCACAGCCTCACCTCGGGGCAGGTTCCCTGAGTCTGGAAGGGGGTGACCTCGATCCTGGTGATGACGCTGAACACGCTGCCCCCCTGAGCTCAGAGAGAGGGGGCGGTCGGCCGGCTGCAGCGCCCCCCACCGTCCCTGTCCCGGCCGGGGGCGCGGCGGCGGCGCGGGGGCGGGGTCGAGCCGCACCTCGGGGGGCTTCACGTACTCCTCCACGTCCCACACTTTGTGCTCGGACGTGGTGATGCCCTTGACTTTGGTGATGACGGAGCTCTCGGGGCCCGTCTCGCTGTCCTGGTAGCTTTTCTGCACAATGAACACGTACCTGCGGGGCAGCGGCGGCGCCGGCTCCGGAGGCGACCCCGGGAGGAGGCTCATCCGGCCGGGA